AAACCCAATAGTTCAGGACATGCAACCAAAGACAAGAAGCACCGCAAGTTAACACATTATGCAATCATACCGTTTCAAACATTTTTCTAGACCTATCACACAGCCTGCATGACAAGCATTACATAACCATTACTTTGAAAAAAGTCTTACCTGTTACTCAAATCGCCAAGTTGGCAGGAGCACAAGGCAATTTCCACAGGAGGCTAAAGCTGCTTGACCCTGAAGCAGGAGCCTGTTGTGTTCTCTGAATCGTCCTGTGTGGTAGCACAACAGTACTTTAGGAAACGAGAAATATTTAAACACTGACAAGAATGCAGCTTTTCACACACAGGGGGAAAAAAAACAGACTGGATTAGTTCAGTACATATTAGCAGCAGATTCCAATTAACCAATCAACCGTCAGGCATTCCAACAGAACATTGTATTAGACTTTTCACACAGCCTGCATGACATAAAAGCAGTACTGAGAAAGTGTCTTACCTCTCATTCAGTTGGCAATTTTCACAGGAGGCTGAAGTCACTTGGCCAGCCTGAGGCGGAATTCTTCTCTGGACCGTCCTGCGTGGAATCACAGAACTACTTTACCCAACCGGAATTTTTTCCGAACACTGATGGCAGCTTTTTGCACATAGAGGGGAAACTGCAAATATTAAATGAAGCAGCTAAAGAGGGTGGCATACTTCAAGACATACAACTACATATTAGAAGATTCAGTTAACACATTATGCAACAGTCAGGCTCTTGACAGTTTGAAAAAGAACGTTTTATTAGACCTGTCACACAGCCTGCATGACAAGCATTACATATCAGAAACCACACAGGAAAAAAGTCTTACCGTTCACTCAAATCACTAAAGGCTGCTGGTAATTTCCACCGTCACAGGAGGCTGAAACTGCTTGACCACTTCTGGGCATCCAAGGCAGGAGCCTGTTGTCTTCTCTGGACCGTCCTGCGTGGAATCACAACCCATTCTGAAAAATCTTTGAAACACTGACAAGATGGAATCTTCTTGCCCACAAGCCAACGTTATTTAGCAATACTAACACATTGGCCAACAGCAAATAGTTAAGCAGCAGATCACGGATCCAAATAGTTCAGGACAGGCCGCAACACTCAGGCATTCTTTACAGTTAGAAAGACATTTTATTAGAGCATTACACAGCTTGTACGACAAGAATTACATTAAAAAAAATACCTTTAAGAACCCAGGCTTCGCCCATCTTCCCGCCAAGATCCATGAGCCTCCTTTGACCTGGACGGTTCTGTCAGTTGAGGTCGACCGCCCATAATCAGCAATTGCAGTTGTGTCTTACAAGACTCTAGAATACATTGACATTTTATTAATTCACTGTCAAAATAACATTCCAGGTACACCGTAAATTTGACTGTCAAATTAGTACATTGCAACACTAAGCCAGTAAACATAAGGTCTTAACCTACAGTGTTGGGGTCACACTGAAGTGTACAGCACTATGAGGTTGACTTCTATTTTTTGTCTCTAGTTTAAAACATCTGTGCAGGAGAAATATTTAAGCAACTATTTCAAATGAATAAAGATATTTTGAAAACACCCACTTGTGATATATTGTGCAACAAACTCCGGTTCAGTTAATGAAAAATTGCTCTTTAATTACCAATTTAAAATGGCAGTTATTACTGCCACAGAAATGTGTATTTAAAGTGCATTTTTAGAGGGTACAGATGCACATACGATTCACTTACACTATGGAACAAACATCAATCACCAAGCAATTGAAACTGAAAATCATGAAAAATGCTTGCAGTTAAATATATGAGCAGTGGCTCTTTAGTAGTGTACTTGTTAACAACACAAGTCAGTCATACCTTTTGTTTGCACTCATGGCTCCACGGTCTCCACCAGGTTTCTTGCACAACGCATAATGAGTAAATGACAATATTTAAAAAAATTATCTGCCACAATTTATAAAACCGGGTTACGCAATTTCTCACGGGCAATCCACAGAGGTAGGGCAAACATTTTACACGTCAACTAACCCCTTTGGCCTCCTACTTGTCCCTGAAATTCAGTGGTAGAGTTGAGATTAAAAAGTAATTGCCAAACTCTTGGTCCATGTATTGAAGTGACAGGTTGCCCTTTAACCTAAAGGTTGTCTTCATCTTGCAGTGAAGATATCTAGTGACTTTGGCAAGCCATTTGGAAGTTTTAGCCAATGTTAATCTTGATTCTGTGTGTGGAATCAGCCATAGCAGTCTGAGAAGAGATCACAAGCAATTAGTAAAGTTCAACATGTGAGTAAATCCCGTCTAGGGGTACCATTGGCCGAATTCTATTTGGGCTGTCGACTTCCGATACAAGAGAATGAGGGAGAAAGTTGTAGGGCTGTTGTATTAGACTGCATTAGTTTTAGCTGATGCATAGTTTGTAGATCATATCATGAGAAGTTGAGCAACTGGAAGACATTTGTAACCACCGGTAGGACAGGGTTAAACATTTCCTCATAAATTATCCAACAACCACAGATCAACAGGTGACTGAAGTCAGACTGAGGCAAAAGGGTTCCCCCAGATTAACATTTAGTTAAAATATAGTAAGAATACAAAACAATGAAACCAATTTCCATCAGCTGTAGGAATTACAAAATGCGCCTCTACAAACAAATTGAGTGCTACCGATGACTAGGCCGCACCGGGGTGAGAACGGGGACAGGCTCTGGCACAGGGCGCTCACCGACTTAGTTTCTCCACACAAACAATATAAAATCGAGGCATGCGATGTTAAAAGAAAATGCAGACAAACACAACAGGCAATGGGATGAGCAGATGAAAGGCCCAGTCACCAGACCCACCATCTGGGATGCTACGCTGTCGACAGCCTCAAACACCCCTAAAAAAAAAACACCAAAAGTAATCATCAGCAAACTAAATATTACAAACATAAAGAAACTCCGGACAGGAACCAAATAAGCTACACAAAACAGTAGTGGCTTCAAATGCCAGCCTGGAGTTACTTTGAGGCTCCTCTACCTGGTCCGGCTCACACATGGTTTGGGCCTCCCTGACAAGCTGGGAGACACAAACACAACAATCACCAAAGGCCAAATCAGTTTCCTAAGAACTGTAAATGTAAATAAAAATAAATAAATAAAAAAAAACCTACCAGCTCATTGGATTCTCCAGCCAGACTCCAACACAGAAAGGGACAAGCGTGGTGACAGCAGCTTCATTATGTGCAGCTTTTATACCCTTTCTAATGGGTGAACCAGGAAGTAGGAGGTACCAAGGTCTGCCTGAGCCTACGGTATCTCAGGAAGGACATTTCCTCACTGGCTACACATTGAAAAAGATTATTCATTATTCATATCATTCATTTATAGTCGTACAGGCTGAGCTTCTTCACAACAGAGATGAACTTGTCTTGCAGTCTCTCCATTTAGATGATTTTATCAAACTCTGGCCGTGCACCCAGTAAGCCATGGATCAAAATCACCACACTACTGTAGTTTAGCCCATTGTATGCCACACTTTTGGCTAAGCTTGCAGTGTCCTTAGTTAAAGACTTTTGTTTTAGAGGATTTTAGATATCCTTGTTTAAGAACATCAATGTGAAGTGTGGAAACATTTATCACTTCCAATGGAGGTCTGATAAAGTCACATGCATGTAAATGATTTGCAATCTGAAATTAATGTCTTTCAGAAAGGGGAAGAAGCACATTCGCTGAAATTGATATATTTTGGAATATGTTTTCTATATTTCTATGGTTGTCATAGATTCTGGTTTATTATTCACAATTTTGGAACACACGTTATCCTGTTATCTACTCTTTTTTTAAAAGAAAACATTAGAGACATTTCTGCAAATCTGCTTTTTTCTCACGCATTTAGTCATGACTGCTCCGTTCTTCATGAACTAGTTGTAATGCATAGACTAAATTATATAATCATATACCCATTTTGGGTATACTGGTACACAGTTAGAATTATTAGAAAGATTAAATGTCGATAACTGCTCTCCTTCTCAAATTGCAAGTAATGTTTATCTTCATATATATTAATGACACAAGAAATATTACTATAAAGTTCAATAGCAGCCAATCTAAAGCGTAAAATATTAAATGGAATCTGCACCTTACTGAAATCCGACACTACAACCGTCATTAAAGTTTGATTCATTGTAGGACTGCTGTATTAGACTGATTTAGTTTTATTGTTGAAAACTAATTAAAACAAACAAATTCTTCCAGCAGATGGAGCCAAATATACATTTTTCCTTTTCAACTTTCACATTACATTACATGTAATTTGGCTGATGCTTTTATCCAGTGTGCATTCAACCAAGAGGGAACAGACCGAGAACAACAACATCAAAGAGAGTAGGAGTGTAGGAGAAAAGGGTGCACAACCAGAAAGTGTGATTTCATCAAATAAGCCAAGTTACAATTTGCTATAGATAAGTGCAAATAAAAGTACAATTTAAGTGCTATAATTTGTTCGCCTTTTAGTCAAGGTAGAGTCTGAAGAGGTGTGGCTTTAGTTTGCGGCGTAAAATGTGAAGGCTCTCTGCAGTCCTGATGTCATTAAGAATCTGGTGGTTTACTATGTGTTAAATGCAGCAGAAAGGTCCAGAAGGATGAGGACAGAGGAGAGAGAGGCGGCTCTAGCAGTGTGGAGTTTCTCCACTGGGTATTTTCTGGGTAAAGTAGTTGACAAAGTCTCCTGGAAGAAGGGGGGAGGAGGACTGGGGGGTTCGAGGAGGTTGGAGAAGATACACTTATGTACTGTCTGTAGGACTAAACAAAAAAATGCCTATGTCATTATCATGAATGGAGTAGTGTTTTCCATTCATCGTAGTGTTTTACATTGACCACATCAGTGTTCAACTGGTTCTTATAAACTTATTCATAAGATGGTTTGTGTTATTTTGAGAATAAATAACGTTGTTTTGAATTTTGCCCATTGTGTGTGTTTTTTTATTTGTGTGTAGAGTTCTGAGAATATGAAGCATTTTTTCAGAAACTATTATTTTGCAGATGTGATAAACGATCAGCTGAGACATGTTGTTTTTGAACTGATCTCATTGCAGAAGCAGAGGTTTTTATACTGTATCTAAGGTTTGGAATATTGTTTTTACTCGATCGTGAGATCGTGGCCGACCCCTCTCACCCCGAACAAAACCTGTTTGTGCTCCTTCCATCTGGCAGGAGGCTGAGGTCCATCAGGACTAAGACCTCCCACCACACGAACAGTTCCTTCCTGTCGGCAGTCGGGCTCATCAACAGAGCCGGTCCCCCACTGTCTGACTATAACATTCCACCGGTCACTCCCCTTCACACTGCACATGTCACTTTAACTGTAATTTTTCACTTTGTCGTCACTCGTCACTTTGTCGTCACTCGTCACTGTGTTACTTGTTCGCTAGTGCACTTTATGCTTAATATTTTTTAACTTTTTTAATATTTTAAATTTTTAACTTTATTCTCTTGTTTTATACTAACCCATAGCCTTATTCTACTAACCCATTGCATTAGCATTTCATTTTACTTTATTTTATTACTTGTGCACTGCTGTCTTGTCTATTGTTACACTGTCTACTGTCACGCACCAACCGCCAAGTCAAATTCCTTGTATGTTTGACATATTTTGGCAATAAATGTTTCCTGATTCCTGAACATTTCTAAATACCACATAAACAATCGATAATTTTGTTAGGAGGTATAGCTTGTCTGTTAAGAAAATGTAAGCATTGTGGAAATGTGTTCACTGAATGCCTATTGTGTGACAACGACATGAAATGTGTGAATGACATGGCCACAAAAGGAGATTCTTTGCTATTTGTGTTTAGAGTTTTGAAAATGTGACAACTGGTTGGACAAACGCTTGTTAGCGACTGAGGAAAAACTAATGCATTTAAGCTAAAGGAAAACCAATTAATGCCCACAGAGTTACAGTATAAGGCCCTCGACTGTTATTGCAGCGTGTAGCTGAAATAAATGACTTTCCATTTAATAATCTATTATGCATTTTTCTTGACAGAAAACATGATGGATATGTCTCAGTAGCTGATGATGATGATGATGAGGTGGTGCTTCCTCTCAGCTATTGACACAAATGATTACACTGGTTTGTGATGTACATGCTGAGAATAATAACCACCATGAAGGCGAAACTTATTATACCTTTTGTGCTGGAATGCAACTATAGTGAATATAAACGACTCTCTGAAGGACTGTCAGGCCTGTTTTCATTGAGCAACGAGAGACTTGTACTGAGTGTAGTTTCTGCAATTTAAGGTTGCGATTATTTTCCCATATATGGCAGGCTTCATTCAATGATTGAAACAAATATTAACATTAACTGAAGTTTTACAGTATAGAACCGACATTGAACGCTACGAGCGCGCTGTAGTAAACATGGAACTTTTCCTTGGCGTGACACGGCAAATAATCAAACCAGTGCGTGAAGCTGTTGTAGCCTATCTCGTCTATTTTATTTATGCAATATACGTTCAGTACAGTCAGGCGCGCGCCCACCCGCAAAGCAAGCAGACGCTGTTGTGTTTTTTGTTTTTTTTTACATTTGAATATAAATTTTCATAACTAAATTAGAATATAAATAGAATAGTAATAACCTAATGCCACTGGCAGTGGCCTTCTGCTAAACCAAGTCAAGACACCAGAGGGGAGTATTTCACAAGTAGTGACACAACCGCTAGCATGACTCCATTTTCCAATAGCTGCTACTATAGGTCATTCAAAAGCATGATAAGTGTCCATTATGAGTATATCTGTGGGTTGATTTCATTAAATGATACATTACTGTTTTCATTAAATTTCTTGAAGGGGAAAATCAGATAAATGATTGTATTGTATCAATATTTTATATTGAGTGTTTCAAGAGTGTTTAACTTGTTCCATCCTGTTTTTTATGTTTATTTTCATTCCAGGTTCCACAGTACGCATAAAGCAAAACACAGACGGAGGGGTTGATCAAGTCACCGCACGGAGCGTTTAAATTCAGATAGAGGCCGAGGACGACTGATAAAGACAAACATGCAAACCAAAAATTGTCGCAGACTGAGCACATGCTGCTTGTAAGGTCCAGAGGAGCGACTGACTGACCTGTGAGCTCAGGGGGGTGGGGTGAAGTCAGAAGGGGACAACATCGCCACCACCAGCAAGGTAAGTAATGGTGATGCAGACTAGATGGTGTAGAGAAAGACAAGTAAAGAGTAAATTTACTTCCAATTAATATCATCTACATCAGTGGTCACCAACTGTTTAAACCCCAACACTTCTGACCTCTGCGACAAATAAGATCGACCTATTACGCCGTTGAGCAAAAAGGACTGTCTTGACCAGGGGTGGCCAACCAGTCAGAAACTAAGAGCCACATTTTTTACTGTGTTACCGCAAAGAGCCACATCATACACATGGGCACACATGAACATTCCCCCCCCCCCCCCCTCCACACACACACACTCACACACACACACACACACACACACACACACACACCTTCTCAACTAGATTTATTGTAAATGTCACACACCAACATGATAATGACAGAAATGGACTTCTACATTACTAAGACCACAGGCCAGTCATTTTCAACAATGAACATTGTGTGCACTGTCTCACACACACAAACTCTCAGTTCAACCAAGCCAATATACAAACAAACAAAACAAAACAAACAAAACAAACAAAACAACAAAAATATAATTTACAATAGCATTTTTCTTTTACTATGCATGTTGCTTAGTGGGACTTCTGACATTACTTGCCTTGAACAATCCTCTTCAAATCTGGCTTGTATTCCATTGTTGCCACTCGAAGCAATTCTTTCGCATGAGTGTCAGTCAGAACAGATCGATGTTTTGATTTTGGGTTAGAAAACACAGACTCGCAGACGTATGTTGACCCAAACATTGACAGTATCTTATGCACAGCCTGTTTGACATTGGGGTATTTTTCCATTGGCACACTTTTCCGGAACTGAATGGTCACTTCCCTTAAAGCAGGTTTCAGTTGGTCCTGCTCACAAAGATCGATCATCTCCAACTCAGCCGCGGCCTCATCTGTGACTAGCGGGGCTTTCAAACAGTCCGTCTCCGCATTAAATGGATCGACGAGGAACGTAATCTGTGACCTTTTCAGTTGTAGATCACAGAAGCGGGTCGCAAAATGTAAAAAGCCATGGGTTAGAAATGCAATGTAATGGAAGTCGCTTTGGATAAAAGCCTCAGCTAAATGACCTGTAATGTAATGAATTGCACAGATTTAGTTAACAAATGCAAACACACTTTGCACCAGGTCAGGCAGCATTT